GCGTTTTTTTCTAATAATTTTATATGAAAAAACCCGAAACATTTTTTCTTAACAACTAATACAAAAAGAAAACGTTTCGCGTTTTTTTCTAATAATTTTATATGAAAAAACGCTGAAACGTTTTTTCTTAACAACTAATACAAAAAAAAAACGTTTCGGCGTTTTTTTTTAAATTTTATATGAAAAAACGCCGAAACGTTTTTTCTTAATAATAATGCAAAAAAAAAATGGTTCGGCGTTTTTTTTTTAATAATTTTATATGAAAAACGCCGAAACGTTTTTTCTATAATAATTAATACAAAAAAAAACGTTTCAGAGTTTTTTTTCTAATAATTTTATATGAAAAAACGCCGAAACGTTTTTTCTTAATAATCATGCAAAAAAAAACGTTTCGGCGTTTTTTTCTAATAATTTTATATGAAAAAACGCCAAAACGTTTTTTCTATAATAATTAATATAAAAAAAAACGTTTCGGCGTTTTTTTTTAATAATTTTATATTAAAAAACACCGAAACGTTTTTTCTTAATAATAATACAAAAAAAAAACGTTTCGGCGTTTTTTTTTACATATTTGACCCATCTGACCAGAAATATTATGTCGGGTCAAACGGGTCAACGGGTCAGGTTAAACTGTGACCCGACCCGAGGTCGGGTCGTAAATTTGATGACCCGACCCGAAATTTTCGGGTCAACCCGACGGGTCACCCGAATTGACCCGACCCGTTCAGAACACTAGTTGAGGGTCATGGTATTCGAAAGCAAGACGCAATTCCTCATTATATCCATCCAAGTGTAGTCCATCTAAGAACTTAGCTCTACATGGTGGAAATTTTTTGCCTAGTAGATCCTCAAAAATATATCGGCATTTACGCTCTTAAGTATGATGGCATAGAGGGCACCACTCGAATTTTTTCATGATATATTTTAGTGGATACTCCCACTGGTGTACACCATTTTCGCAAGACCAAAGATATACATCATGACCATTTATTTGACCAGTCCTTTCTAGACACTGACCACCACGTCTTCTGGCATAATCTTTAGCATGATCAAACTCGCTATTGATAGGGGAGATATAAACGAAATTTACAAATAATATTCTTTGAGGGGGGAGCTCAGGATCACGAGTCAAATGCATGAGTTCTTCTCGCACAAATTCCCGCTTTGGAGCAAATTTATCGTCATCACTCCCAAGATAATATAAGACAGGCTCCTTTTTAGAGACCACAATTTTTCTGATTTTATGAATAGAAGGCGAGTATGTGGGGTCTGTAGCCCTTTTCTGATTCTCCATTCCTTCCTCCCATTCAGCATTTGCAAGAAGATAGCGAACTGAATCACCTTTCTTCAATGTTATTTCATCTTTGCCAATAGGTCGTTTTGATGATATTGATGGCTTAGATTCAACCTCTTCCAATAAAATGGCTTCTGAAGGCGCTAATCCAGGACCCCGAAGAATACATATACAACTCAGATCCAGACCAAAAATTTTAATATAACTTTATACGCCTAATTTTATTAGAAGCTTTATACAAAATCATCACATAAGTTCAAATTTTATTATAAATTATACAATTATAAATCTGAGTTTATATAAAAAAAAAATTTTTAAAGAAAAATTTCAAATAAATTTTATTGAAAATTTTAATAAATATTATTAAAAACTATTTAAAAATTCTAACAAATAC